TGTTTTGGCTTCAGAATTAGATCGGAAAGGATCTACAGTGATCTTCAGCCCGGGATTTTCTTGACATAAGGAAACCCATTATCGGCACAGTTACCGTATAAGTGTGTAATAATGCGCAGGGGCATTATTTTGAATTATGGCCCGAATTAGGCTTAATTTAGGCCAAATTTCGAAATTACACCCCTGCGCGTTATTATGCGCTTATACGGTAAATTTCAAATGAAGGTATCTTAACAACTATCTAAACAGATTTAATATATTTTTTTTAATTTAATCCTACAGGCTTGTATAATTAAAATAAAAAAAAAGCTCATTGAATTTGCTTAGATGGTTGCCGAGATATATTCGTTTAAAGTTGGGTAAAGAAATAAAACATCGAAATTTTTGAGACTTTGAACAAAGATATCTTGACAACCATTAAGGCAAATTCGGTAAACCTTTTTTATTTTAATTCTACAACACAATAGAGCTGAAATAAACAAAAATTCATCGAATAATTGTTGATATATATTCGTTTAGAGTTTGGTAAAGAACTTAAACGTTTATTAAATAGAATTTCAACCAAAGATATCTTAAAAACCATTTAAGTAAATTTGACGAGTTTTTGTTTATTTTGGCTCTATTGAATTGTAGAATTAAAATAAAAAAGTTCACTGAATTTGCTTTTATAGTTATTGAAATACCTTCATTCAAAGTCTTAAAAAATTTTTATTTAGTAAACAGTTTAATTCTTTACCAAACTTTAAACAAATATATCTCGGCAACTATCTAAGCAAATTCAATGAGCTTTTTTTGTTTTAATTATACAGGCCCATAGAATTAAAATAAAAAACTTCATTAAATCTGTTTGGATAGTTGTTAAGATACCTTCTTTCAAAGTTTAAAGAAACTTTAATTTTTAGTGTCGATCATTTGCTGTGCGATAACGGAGATAAGTCACGTGCATGCTGTGTCGGTAAAACTACCCCAAGAACACCACCAAAATTAGCCAATCAGAATTTGAGATCAGGTGTAACGTGAAATCAAACAATCGAATTTAGCCTTTAACATTAGGTTTGCGTTAGAGTAAAGTTAGGACAAGGTTATAGCAGTAAAATACCAGGAACGTTAGTGTATGGTTTTACTGGTATCTAAAACGAAGGCAAAATCTTAAAGCTGATTGGTGCACATTTTTTCTCATGATCATTATCTGTTTTATGTGACATAAAATTTTAGAGGTTAAAGCGGAGTGAAATTTAGTTAGAGTTATCTTCTTAATGAAGTTAGGAGGTTTATATAAATATATATATAGGGGGCTGCCAGTAGAAACCAAGCAAATTGTTTCTAAATAAAATTTTTTAAAACTTTAAAATAAAATATCTTAACAACCATCAAACCAAACTTGATAAAAATTTTTTATTTTAATTTTATGTAGTTATAGAATTAAAATAAAAAAAAATTTATTAAGTTTGGTTTAATAGTTGTTGAGATATTTTGATTTAAAATTTTAAAAAAAAACTTACTAAAAATGATTTGCTTAGTTTCTACTAGCAGCCCCCCATATATTATTCAAGATCTTGAACTAATTCTTCTAAATTAAATTTATGATCTTTATTTATAGCGATATTGGAATTGATATTGTCTTCATTAGAGATATACAAATCCTCTACTTGATTAAACACTTGATGATACAAATCTACAATATTATTAATAACAAGAACTACTACTTGATGATTAGAAATCTCTAAATCATCATCTGATTCTCTATTATTTTCATCTTCATAGTTTTTGCTTATATCATTTTTATCCTCGGCATCAAACAGATAAGATCTTTAAATCAATACTACTAATTTATCTTCAGTTTTGTTTTTTATATTATATGATAGCTCTTTAAGCGTATTAAGTAAATTATAATATCAGATTTTAGTAAGTGATTCTAAATTTTTTAACCCCAATCATTGTCTTTTTTTACCATAGAACTAATCTAAATAGAAAAATGCATTCACATAATACACTATATAGAGTTATTGCAAAAATTTTTTTGGCCAAAATTTTAAGATTATTAAACTTATCTTCTTAAAGCTCTACTATATAAAAGGTGTTATTACTTGGCTATCATATCCAACTTTGTATGAAAATTCTTTTTCCTTAAATTTGATAATTTGAGCAATAAGAGTTTGTGCAGATAATTTATCTTTGTATACCATCGATTGTTATAATTGTGCAGTATAAAGAGTAATTTGTGTGTATATTCCCTTTCTTAAACCAGCACCTATAAAAAAAAAAATTCAATTATTAAACATACAAATATAAATATACTAAAAATGTTAAAGAATAATATATATATACCTCAATATTCATGATGCAGCATATATGCTAAAATATATAGTTTTGCTTCAAGTTCATTCCAATGATTGTTAACAATTTCTATGCATTGATTTTGAAATGCAATTATATCTTTTTCTTTTGGCATATAAGAAATAGTTGCAATTAAATAAACTAATTGAATAAAACAATCTGCTATTGTACAATCTGCTCTTTCTAATCGCAAAATTGTAGCTCTAATTGAAGCAAAAATTGTAAATATTTGTTCTATGTCATAAAAGAATCCTTGAGACTTTAAAATTATTTATACATCTTGGTTGGTAATAGCATCAGGATAATTGTTTAAAACCTTAAAATTATTCAAAATATTAGTGTTAGCACTATAGTATATTATATAAGAATGTGTGCTGCAAAACAAAAAAAACTTACACTTTGCAACATTCGTAAAATCAATTATTCTAATTAATAAATTAAAAATCACCTTTTCTAATACAAGTTTAAGTCTAAACACAGAATTAACCATTTAATATGCAGATGTCCATCTAGTTTCTATAAAAAGTTTCAATCCACTTTTGCTAATATTCAATTCATTTATATATTATTTTAGATAACTTCCAGCTAAATGACTAGTTTTAAAAAAGTAATATATCTTATTGCAATATTTTAAAATACGTGCTGGTAATTTACATTTTAAAATATCATAACTAATAAGATTAACAAAATGAACAATACAATGAAGATTGATAATATGGTGCATGTAGCCTAGAACCAGTATCACGTGACTTTTTATAACTATGTAAAATAAAAATGGCTATAACTAATAATAATACTATTATAACAAAAAAAAATTATTCTGTAAAGCAATTATTTAAGCTTCATATTATAATATTACAGAAAGATTTTTTTTCTTAATTTAT